TGCCATAGGTCAACAATAAAATATATTCTTATTGCCATGTGTGTGTTAGTTGATATCCTCGCTCTCATAGAACCTAACCTTTTATCTGTTTTTTAACAATTGTTGGTTGTGAATATCAGACATTTTATACTCATCCGGTACCCTCAATCAGCATATTATATACGTCTGAGAAATTATTATCACGCAGTTATACGTCGGTGTTGACAGATACATGGAAGTCGTTATTACATTAACGTCTTCCAACCTTTCTCGCTTTCCTTTGCCGCATATATTGCTATTATCTGATGAATAACGTAAAGACACGTTAAGCAATTGTTAGTTTTCACCTCCGTCTTGTAATAATTCAAGTGAATTGTACGGTTAGGTTGACCTTTAGAGATAGCTGACGATTATATTGATCATATAGCAGACTATAGTGCTGTCGATAGACGTAGCGTAGAAAGACAAATTATTAATTTAGCCTATAAGCGGAAAGCAGTAAATGTTATTAGTATGAGGCCCAAAAAAATAATTTTGCAGGAAATTGTAGTGTAGTACTATTGTTGTCAAAAATGTAGACCGGATACGGAAAAGTATGTTTCTACATTATTGTTTGCTATAGAGACTATTAGAGCATGCGATTTTACTAGAAAATTTGTTATGATGAAGAGTGCATTACATATTATGTTGTGTACGAGTTTAAGCGGTCCGTTTACACAACATGCGTACAACTATATTACGATTTTATATTTTTTATTTTCTGGGGATTTTATAAAAAATATTAGATAACAAATTTTTATTTTATTTGTCGGAAAACGAAAACACCCTCTAAAATGCCCAAATGGCATAGCTTAAAATGAATAAAGTGAACTTATTTCAAAAGCTCGTCTGTAATCATGGCACGCATGTGTTAAACTTTAAGATTATCATTGAATGTATTGCAAATGCGGTGTCCATGATAGTGCCCGTGTATGTGCACATGTACCGAATATTATAAGATAAACGTTACTGCATCAATAGCGTGAGTGTATAATTCAATTTGGCGGTTATTTAACGCTTTTTTGTCGTCGCATCCCTTCGGACATCGCCGCCGAGCAAGCAACTATATACACCGAGTTCATAGTGTAAACGAATACGTTTACTGGGTAAGGGTAGCGTTGTGGCGCCATGGGGTGTCTTTGAAATTTAAGGGAGTTGGCTACACTGAGTCGGTCGTTTGTGTACGGGGTGACCTTTTTATCGATCCACGGGCCGCTGCAGGGCTGCGCCTTTCGCGACCCTTTGTCAATCGCTCATAGTTGTTCGGTCGGACGCGTGCCTCTGCGTTTGCTTCTTTTTCTCAGTCTCAGTACTCTGGTCAAACACACCCGTTTTTTCTGAAACACACTCCAAAAGTTGCGTTTCTTCGTCATAAGTGCTTTGGTATTACTTAACGGAGTGACGGAATCGACTTGAGTACTGGTAGACGGATTTTTAACTTTGTCCGCGGCGGGGTCGCGCCGTCGACCCCGCCCTTGCCGTTCGCCATCTTCACATCATCCCAGTAGAAGTTCTATTCTGCCTAAACGGCTGTGTTTTTGCGTCGCCAAACGGAATAAAGGATTCGTCTCGATTGCTGTTTGACACTATCGCGTCCACCTTGAAGACATTGCGGTCATTGTGGCATTTTCTGCGGATTAGCCCGTCGACTACGAGTCTTGTCTGTCCGCCATTTTGGCGTCATTTACGCCATTCGGTTTGGTCGTTGTGATGCTGATCAAATGCTCGCCATATGTAAGTTTTAAATCATGAAACATTGTTCATTTTGATGTTTTAGATTATAATTGCATGTTATTCATCTTTTTTTGTACAAATCTTAAGTTAACAACACTAAATGTTTCCCCCTTGTACGCTTCTCTAGGGGTGTGGCCGCAGGCGTCCATAGGGTGGTTATACAAATCACCCCGTGGGATAGCATTACTTTGTTCATTTTCTTCATTCCTGATCGTCTGAAATCATCATATAATATTATAAATTGTATGTTTATGTGTCGTGTGTGTATGTATATATGTTTTTAGCTGAGAATGTATTTTTTTTTATATTTGTGACAATGAGGGGATATGTTTATGTATGTTCCCACTTTCTACTTGACCTATTTTAATCGACTAAAAGCTTACAAAATCTATAAATAACTAGATTTATTAGAGTCTAGCTCTAACTAAACTATTTTTTTTAAACGGAACTCATAAGAGCATTCGAAAATGCCACCCTTTTTTACAAGTTACCTTATTTTCTAGGAATCAATGTTATAAGCAAGCTGTATTGAATCACGGTTGGTTCTTTTTTGTTACATTTATGTATTTGTTCAGTATTTTAGGTTGGTATACAAGAAAATTTGTGGTCTGTTAAAAAATTATGGTGAAGTGGTTTTCTGTTGCCTTCCGTACAGAGGGAGGGGGAGGGAGAGGGGTGGGCGTTTCCTTATACGTACGATTGCCGCCTAGTGAGAGGAACAACCAACGACCTAGATTAGAACCACGGCTTGGCTTACAACCACTACAGCATTAATCCATTTTGCCACGTCGCCCCGCTGATAATTACAATTAGTTTATTATTTATCGAGTTGGTTTGTTTCTTCGTTACTCGTTTATTATAAAACCAAATAGACAGTTTAAAAACTATATGCAACGTCGTCAAAAGCAAATAATGTAAATATAACTATGACGTCTGACATTTTACAGTCCCCTCAACAATGGCAGTTGACACAATATATCTGACCCTTATATACTATAATAATACTGATCCTATTCAGTAGTTTCACCCTCTTTTCTCACAATCGGTTCCCCGTCACACTGACTAGGCCTAAGTCTCATATGCTAGCAACACGTAACGCAATCGGTTAATGTAGTATTTCAATGTACGCCCGCGACGAACACACTAGAGCTATTGTGTATTTGTTAAGAACTATTAATGCTAGAACGCAATAGTTGATCTTGATTTATATCATTGACAATCATTACATTCATGGACTGAACAATATTAAAGTTCGGATAACCCGTAGGCAACCGAGTAGAGACAACCGCTATAATCTGTATCGCACTTAAGACGGTATTCATTCCTAATGGTGTCGCCTAACAGTTTTAATCGTCATATTTTCCTTATTTCTCTCTTAAATCACATTTAACCGCCTCGCTCGAACGATAATTTGACGAGTCGTATTCGAAATGCGGTAATTGTGATTGGAACAACATTGTACTATGTCCAGAAGATGAACGTCAAGAGTTATATCGTTATTAATTTCCGGACCGGTCCATCGCTTGCCCGAGGGGATTCCGCGCATTTCAGTCGACAACGTGGGCGCGTCTTGATGTTAATTTTTTCTCAACCCCTACCTACCCCTCAACCCCCACCCCCCCCCCCTCTCTCTCCAAATACCCACCACCCGTATGCGTATTATACCGCGTTCGCCCTTAGCGTTTCTCGAAGAAACCGTCGGCGCTGCGTTTTTCCTCGGTTTACCCGTGAGGTCGTTCGTATACCACTGCGACAGTCGCATTGTTCGTTTACTATTGATATTTTTTTCATAAGAAATACCAATAACTATTTAATACGGCAATTATCGACAGTCTATTTATATTAGGCTAACAAACACAGTTCTGGTTTCCCTCGGTGACACGTTTTTGGTGCGAATGAAAAATGTGTTGCCTTACACTTTGGTAAATATCTGATTAAAAATGTTTTTAAAAAAACTATGTATAAACCCCTGGAACTATGGTCACATTTTTAATGTTATCACAAGTCATAGTTGTGAATAATATTTAATTTAGATAATAGTACAAATTTAACTATTTTGTTGATGGCATAACGCAAAGTGTGACAAATTTATTTTATAAATTCAACAGTACTTCCACTAGTAGAATTAGCTATTATTTAATGTTGCGAATAAATTAATATTAAATATATCATGTTGAATTGTTATTCATTCTGATTTCTCAATGTAATGATCGACACAAAAGCCTTTAACAACAATTAACATAAATGTTTCCATTTTCTCTGCAGTACCAACAGATAACTAGTGTTATTCGCAGTCACACCATTTCTGTAAAATAATGTGTCGTAAGACAAAAAGAAATGAAAATGTGAACTCTAGACTCTTGATGTACACTGGCTGGTAGAATACTGGTACTTGTCAGAGCACTAGAGTATAACGGATAGCTGTCCGGGTTCTTCGCGGATGTCGAAGAGCCGTTGATTATACTGGATTAAAAATAATTAGAGAATGGGAAAGGATAGGTACAAGGTGCGAACGAATCGCAAGACACGAGTACCTAAGGAAATGTAAGCACACACGGTGCGAACGAATCGCAAGACACGTGTGTGTGGAGAGGAAAGTATAAGGTGCGAACGAATCGCAAGACACGGGTACTTTAAGAAAGGAATGTGCACTGTGCGAACGAATCGCAAGACAAGCGCACAAGGAAAGAGGATAGACTACTAGGTGTAAATGAACGAACTCTCGAACTTAAACCTTGTAGACGGACAGCGACAACCGATTACTCTTGACTGATGACATATAGTTCTGGTAAAGTCGACTGACGAAATGTTATTGACTCTCATTGACTTTTATATATTTTTACAATTTGCAATTCAGCGTTATTGTTAATTTAATCGTTTGGTCATCAGTCTCAAGTCGCCGGAAGCACTGCCCGCATTTATTTAAAAAACATGTAACCTATATTGATGACGTGGTCATCATATAACAAATGGATACATAATATTCGTGGTTGACTATTATCTATTAAATTGGTTACTTTTCAATAGAATAATAGAGTTTTATTTTGTTATATACAATACATTGTTGTACTATGTATGTTAAATTTGACTAAGATATTTCTGTCTTGTTAATGACGTCAATACATTTATTGAACGATTCTCTTTGTTAGACCAACTAAACTTCGGACTGCATACCAAACACCTGGCTGTTACGACAAAATCAAGATCAAGATTAATATACTAACATTGTGTGTTTTGTCTGTTTTCAGTGATTGGCGTCAACGGAACTGGGAGGTCGGGAAACTGGCACCACCCTGCGGGACAACAGCTCGGGTACAGCTCGGCACGGGTCCGTCTCTACTGCCAGGCAAAGTGAAATATACTGGCTCTGACAGGTAAGAACACCATACACGGTCCACTATAATTCATGTTGTAAAAGATAAGCGATCAAATACTTTATTTCACACACCTTCCTTTACTTCCGATTTATCAAGAGAAGTTAGTGACATTTAACTCGGCGCCGAATATTAATTTAGCATTTTCAACGGTTCCGGGGTGGTCTCTGCTGTCTCGTGGGAAATAAAGTTTTCTTTGCGTCTAAGACGGTGTTGCTTAAACCGGTGCCGTTTAAGTACTTAATTAAATTAAGTTATTTCGATCGCCGGCCGAGTCGTTACCGCCGTTTTCAACAGTGCCACTACCGCCGACGGGCCAAAAGTTTTACCTCCTGACTGCAATAGTTTTCACTTCCATAATTGGCTGACCGTAATTGCGTTGTAAGTCGTAATTGGCTCAGTCGGTTTAAGTCTCCGACGAAACGCCCAAACACAACGAGAAGTCAATGTATTACCCTCCCTGTCTTATGGTTTTCACTGCCCATTATAGCAGAACGGCTATTATTTCTAAAGACGCTATGTTCTATTTCAGAGGAAATTATGATTATCTGTGTGTAAATATTGTGCCAATTCCAGTAAATAACAATAATAAGAGAACACCGTTCACTATGCTGTTTAATTATTAATTTGCATAACCTTACATTTCAATCTTTATTGGTTCAATTAACGGTAACTCGTTTCTCGATAGTTTTCGATTGGGTCGATTGGTACTACTGACTAATTAGTTGATTCATTTTAACTCATATAGACAAAAATTTAGACAATGATATAAAGCGTTTTCTATTGGTATAACACATTAACTCCGTTTATGAAAAAATTAGTTTAAAAAAAAATGTTTTTAACACATACCTATAATAAAGGAAAAATAATGTATTAGATACAAAACAAAAATTAAAATATTATGCAAATTTATAAGCAAAATAAACACAATACGTTATGCAATATTTACATGTAATTTGAATAAACTATTAAAACAACTGGACAATAAAAGAGATAGTAAAAATGTTAAATCTTGTAACTAAACGGTAGGTCATGTTAAATTTGTTTTACTGAACAAATTAAAACATTTTTGTTTTTAGCTGTGATAGACAAGAATATCCTTTTTCTTTGGCAAATGCTTTTCTTACCTAGTATAAAAAATCGAATGTCAACATTTTATCGCTACAAAACTAATCTATGGATATTTTTTCTTTTTCAGCGATATTTCCTCTGTACATAAAGAGGAATGGTTCGTGTAGGTAAGTACACAAAACTAACATTTACTGTTATTATTGTAGACTAGGTAGTTTCGATACGTCATATGTTTCATAACGACTTTCGGTCGGTTAAAAACATTTAAAGTACGACGACATAAGGCACCATCGCATTCACGTTTAGGTTTACCGCAATAAAGTCTAAGATGGTGTAGTAGATAAGCTGCGCGGCTGTCGTTGACAATCCTATTGCGACATTCTAGTCAAAAACGCATTATCCTAATTTTCTTATTTTCCTCGTTGGCAATGTTTAATGATATACCACATATATCACCGACAGAACCCATTTATACACAGATATGCATATATATATAGACTCGTTAGACTCGAGAAATAGTGGAAACCAAATCCTATTACCTAAACGAATACAATGGTACGCGTTGCCATCAATAACGTCATCCCTACCGAGGATCAGTGTGCTGTATTATTATTATTATTATCATTATTGTTATAAGTTATAACAAAGAAACGGCGAACGTAAGCTTCGGTGCTGAGGCGAAAAGGTATTAGTCTTGACAACGATGAGTTTCTTATTGATCTATTTGTGTATGCGTTGTATCGATAAGTTCTAATTTCTCAAAACAAAACTCTGTTGTCACCACAAAAGATATTAATTAATAATATATTTACAAAAAATCACTAGTAAACCGACGCAAACACATAATCAATTATTTTACCGAGACGTTGATGATGTACGTATGACCCAGACGATTTCTCTTAAGATATTATTCCCAAGGTCTTTTACTGGAATTTGAACATGCAAACTATTGTTTTTAGTATTTCTAATTGATACTCTGGTATGAAACTCTGTACGGTTTATTCTTATTTATTTCATCTGGTTGTTAATTTAAATAGTTTTCATAAAATATATTGTATTGTATACTCACTGATCAGACATGACATCGAGTTTACATGTTGTATTTAGTTTTGTATGAATCGTTTTTCGAACGATTATGGTTAGGCCTTCTGTCAGTTTGTGTCATCAATTTATTTTATAAATCGGATAAAAAGGCGTGAAGGAGCTCTTAGTTGACTTATTTTGATTTACTCAAAGAGGGTAAAAACCTCGGTGATATTTTAATTCAGAAAAAAAAATTAATAAAGAAGATATTTCAAAAACTATTCGGTTTTTTATATTTATCCACACCAGATACAGGCCACCAATATTATAATATATATATTTTCCTCGACGGCGATGCTAGTAAACGACCGATAAGTCTGATTTATTTGTCTACGGAAATCCTCGGTGCTTGAATATACATAGTGTTATTATTATATGCATATATTATAGAGACCATCTCGCTGAGGGTGGCGGGGAGCGGTCGATAAATTTCAAAATCTCCAACGCATTATCCGTTTTGTATGTATAGACAAAACATACATGTCATTATTGTTGTTTTTAGTGTTCATTTTTTACCGTGTTTAATACACAACGAGAAGGGGTGTGTTTTTTTATCGCTGCGTTCAAAATGATATTTTTAAGCAAAACAAACAAAAATTATAGTAACATACCGCTAACGACTGGCGTGCATTAAAAATGTTATCATCGAGAAAACGTTAATATTATTTACTGTTGTCGGTGTAGCCGGAAATAACAATAATTTTTAATCGTCAAATAGGGGGAACGATAAAAAATAATAACATTATAATATACCGTCGACAGTTTATTAGCAACAGACTATAGTAGTAGCAACCCTTGTGATAAAAAAAATAAACTTTAATAGAGACTAGAGTATAAAATCACCTATAGTAACCAGCGATGCTTCAGTAATATCTCTGGAGTTTCAATCGTTAAACCTTAACAAAAATAAATTAAGGAAAAAAGTTTCAACTGCGTATTTTGGATTTTCAATCCAATTAACATCTCAAAATACCATTTAAAGAAACTAGTCTTATTTTATTTCGACACAATAATAGTATATCGAATAGTTTAATATAATTAAATTTCTTAACAGATAAAAATTTCGAAACTGTAATTTATAATTTACAAAAAAATTCCAGTTACATATTTTGTTTATTATTTATTAAGTAGATTGTCTAAAAAAAAAACAAACATTTTTATTTATGAAAGGGACTAACTAAAACTTTTGGTCGGTTATATTACGCTTATTTTGCAAACAAATGAAATTGTACACATTTTAAGAACAAGCACAACTTTTTATCTGAGCAATCAAATTTATTTAGTTATTTTATTTAGGGTTAACTTTTTTGTAGAAAAGAAGTTGTTCCGATGTCTTCCATTTCTAGCTCCTACTATAAAACAAGCTATTCAATTTTTTATATCCAATAAATTGTATATATATATATACATAAATATATGTATATATCTTATTGTGTAAGATATTATTTAATTTGATTACGATTCCGCTTCAACTTTACTTTTTTGTACTATACACCTTTATAGTTTATAATATTGAGTCTGATGGTGCCTTGTTAGTTTTTCTGGGCGCGCTTGTAATGAAATTTACTTGGTTATTTAGTAGACATTGGGATTATCCAAGAGTTATCTAATAGAAAACAAATCATATCAAATTTACCAAAACAATATTTATGATATTATAGTATTTTCTTTTAAAGTATAAATTAAGTACTAATGACATTGTGTTTTGTTTTTTTTTAACAGATGATGACCTAATCCGTAGCCCAGCAGGGTGAATCCGGTGGTACCTCGCCTGGCCGGCTTTTGCAGCATTCGGATTGCTGCACTTCTATCATAAAGGTTTTTACATGCGTTTGATTATTTCAATGCGACAATGATTGTCTATTACTATTGCGTTTTTAACATGTATTCTATTGTTACTATGTAAGTTTAGTTAAATAATTTTTGAATTCTATTGCTAAGAGTATTAAAAAAAATAATAATAATGTGTGCGTTAAAGTTATAAAAATATTTAATCGATAGAATGTTAAGTTAAATATAAATAGATGAATAAATATATAAATATTATTAATAATTAGGATGAAAGCTGTGCACAAATTATTGTGTTTTTAGTATTAATTTAAAAAAAAAAAAATTTAAAGGAATAACTTTAAGTATTTATTAATGTGTGAAAACGATGGCCGTTTTCGCTGAAGATAATGCCGTTTAGACTAGTATATTTACTAATGTCTCTTCAGACTTATATTTAAACGCACAAATACCAATGAAACCCCGCAGCTCTAAGTTAGCAATTCCATATTGCCTCTTTTCTTTTTTCCATCGTCATCGTCTGGCATCTCGTTTCTCGGTCCGTATCGACTGCACTGTTGTTGCACACACCGGGGAGGTTTATTTTTTAAATTGATTTTTTTTTTTTTGCTTCCAAACCGAAAGGGTTAGCGCACACACACACACACACATACCTTAGACGTTTCATTGTTTTTCGCAAGCGGTCGCCGCCGGCGTCGGCCAATCAATCAACCCGGTGAGCACGATGAAATAGTTCAAGTATAATAACAACATATTTAAAGTGTGGTCGCTTTTCCGGTAAACAAACGTTAAAATTGTTTTATTGATTTCTTCGACCAGTCAGTTTTGTTTGTCGTTCGTGTCCGGCCATTCAGCTCGCGTACAGATTACCGTCAAGTCTCGCGCGCGTCGGATGTGCTCGGAGCACTCTAACGATATACATTTTTTTTTCTTACTTATTTTTCTTGCAAAATTCAAATGTAATACAAAGTCAAAATCAACCTACGTACGTCTGCATTCGGCCGACCGTCGCGCAGATATCCGTCATGTCTGTAGCACGGTCGTCCGTAGCGCGCACGCTTTTTCCCGTATTATTTTTTGTTTGTTTTTTACCGTCAAATTGTTTTTTTTATTCCAACCAAAAAGCGTTACCGTGCACACTATTATATTATGCCTCCGGTGGTTGCAATGCACACACACGTGTGTGTACCTCCCCTGCCTGCGCGCCGCGTTCACCCCTTCTCCAATCAACCGATCGATCATTCGGCCGTTTCATAACGGTCAACGGTGACGACCGGCCCTGGCCGCCCCTCCCTTCCCCCTACTCGATAAGTCCTGGCACAATAATCGAATTCAAATAGCAAAAAAGGCATCCTCCTCATCTTGGCCAAAATACCTACCTAATACGTATTACTTTTTACCCCGGACATATCTTTCGTTGTCATTCATATCCATTGTAAAAAACGGCACCAAGCCGCCGAGGTATGCGCCCTCTGTACCCGCGCCCTTCCATTTCCAACCAATGCATATCAGTATAATATTATGTGTACCTGTACTGCATATCCTACCACAGACTGATTACAACAATTGACAATTGTTTTATCAAGCAAAAAAAAAAACCAAAGACATCGGTCTATATCCGTCCATTCGGCATTAACAAAAAAAAAAAAGTTGAAATGGTATCAATTTCTAATTATTATCTATAAATGGTTTTAGCTTTTACTTAAATATTAAGTCTCTAACGTAATATTATTGTAGCTTGAATTTTAACGATTTTTAGCGCGTGTGTTTATATATTATACTATATTATTATTATTATACTAATATTTTACTTAGCTATTTAGTTCTTAACATTAATATCCTAATATATCGATCGATCTTAATTAATTATAAATGTGAAACATACTAAATATACGCGAAAAAGATCCGCATTACCATCTTTATTTTATTATGCTATAAACAAAGGCGACAAAGTTCCGCATTACCATCTCGATTTGATTACCATTAAAACAAAGTTGATGATAAATATATTGTGAGCTACTTTGTGCTTGATGTGCACATACGTTTGACTTTACTAATGACACACATTAACCTTGTGTCACGGTATTACTAGGCAACTTGTTCGTCAGAAAACACGACGTTGCCCAGTAATTGCCATCGTTGTACATACTTTACATATTTTACTTACTCTAGGTTACGTTTGTTATAGATAATAATGTGTACTTAAGTCTTAGGCAGTTTTGTTTTTAGGGAATATTTTTATTGTTAGTTGTATTTAAGATATTATAGCTAAAAATGTTAATACTTATTGCGTGTTTTCGTTTTAAGTCTTAAATTTAGGAAATTATATTTACTATAAAAATAAGGTTTTACGACATTATCATTTATTAGATTTAAAATGTGTTCAGCGTGTTGTGTTCTATGTTATATGGTAAATCAGGCGTTACGACGACCATAGAGTACAACACGCTAGGTGATGAGAAAGCCTAACACAAATGACAGTAGTGAGTTAGTTTCATAATAATTTTAAGTATAATAATTATAATAATAAGCGTGTATCTTGTTTATTATAATTATTCTTAAGACCCAACCATCGTCTCTGCGTCGTTTTAAGGTTCAAACTAGTAGTGAAACTAGTTTGAAGTAAATTTAAGTCGTCATAGGAAATTAGTTAAATTTAAATTAGGTAATTTTAAGTCTTTTAATTCTTATTGTATTGATAGTTCATAACTTAATTCGAAACTTTAAGTCTTTTGATTCTTATTGTTTCCACGATAGCCTATTGATTACACTTACCTTATTATATTTATAGATAAACATTTAATAGTTTATAACTTAATTCGTAACTTTAATTTTCTATTAATATTAATTGTATCGTTTTAATCGAGCGTCGAGTATGTTACTCGTACGAGCCGAAAGAAGTAAATTCGATTCTATATGAATTAAATTCGATTTAAGATATATCTGTTGCGTTTCGGTCGAATAGTGGTAGTTCTCGCATTTCAAAATGGACGAGCTATCATTGTCCGACTCGTGTAACCTCGGATATTAGCATGTAATTGTATTATATTATGATAGGCAGATTCTGATTCTGAATTAGTACACCTAAAATATAGGTTTTTCCTGTTACTTAGTAATTAATGTTTCATGTACATAATAGTGTATTGGTAAAAATTTTAATTAATTTCACCTTAGGAAATAATTATTCTACTCTTATGGGTAATATTAATGCATATGCGTGTGTTCGTTTGGTTTTAATTGGTATATATTTTTTCTCTACAACAGCAGCTAGCCATAATAAAACCTACGCGTTTAACTATAAGTCCTTTTTTCATCTAATCGTCATATTTCACTTATTAATTAAGGATTTTAAGCAGTTTTTTTCCGAGGTTGTCGTATCGATGCCTTTAGGAAAATGCTGCATTTTATTTTAATGTATTTTTTAGGTTTAATTGTAAATTTATATTAGTTATTATGGATTTTTTATTTTGATTATTTTTAATTTTTCCATTCTGAAAGTGCCCACATGTATTAATTAATATTAGTCTATTAACCTCTGTAATCAATTATAGAGTTAATAGAAATTACATATAAGGTCTAAATTTAATGTGAATGTCACAGATTGAGGGCATAAGAAAAAGGTGGCTCGATAGATCGTGAATCAGGAAAATCATTTTTACGTTTGTTTTTATTGCTATGTGAATCTTTTCTTTATGATGGGAGTTGAGTGACGTTTTTCACTGTTTTATTTTCATAACAATTTCAATAATCAGTTAAAAAATGGTCTTTTGGGAGTATTCTTTTTTTTTTACATTTTAGATATATCTTCACTATAGAAACCGTACTCATTAGAAATTTAAGTGTAATAGCGACAGTTCTTTTATTTTTCAAAAAAATATCTTTAATGCGTTGTTATTTGACTCCCATTATAAGCAAATGATTTGCAAGAAAGACCAATGTGTACAGTGTTTGATTTATAGTAAATTGTTCATGCAGACATAATGTTACTCATTATTGTCTATATGCGACGACAATTTATTATTAATGTTAAGGGTAGTTTTAATTATAGTCGGTATTTAAATCATAAATACTGGTTTTAACGGGGCAGAAATATTGAAAATTATTTTTAAGCATATAATATTCTATCTTCTCACGAGGATAATATTATTCTAGGTTGAAATAATAGTGTTAATGCGTTTTTGTTTTGATTATTTTTAATTTGTCCATTCTGTTAGGGGATATTATTGCCAACAAAGGAGCCTCACACTTGTCTACGAAACCTACATTAGTGTAGTCCATCACCGTTGTATTACGAAAAAAAAAAAAAAAAAAAAAAAATACCGGTGATGGAAGTTCTTTAGCATAGTAAAGTTAACGGTAAAATATAACGGTAATATTCTACGGTAAGATCTTAGGAATAAGAGTAGGTTAAGACAGATTCTATATTTTTGTATATAAGGATATAAGGATTATTCATTAAGAATAGGTTAATTGTTGCTAATAAAAATTTAGGTATAACATTCATTTATTATTGTAAGTGTGTGTCTTTTTTGTTTCAATTATTATTAATTTTTTTCGTTAAAACGATGGAGATTGTTGAACAAACTACCCTCCTGTCTGATTACATCCTCGATATTATACACTATAGCATAAGGTATTAGCGGCGATCGTAGAACCAGGCGAGGTGTGCCGAAGGAGAGCGCAATACAAAATTTAGTTGTAAGTTAGGTTAGGATTTTTGTTTTAGAAAATGTGCTTTTCCAATAGCGATGGTGTGGTTACAGTGGAAAAGTATGTTTTCGTTTTTACTATTTTTTTTTCGTTATTATTTTGGCGAGCATCTAAAGATGCGCCAATGGCATGAGGCAAACTAAGAAAATTTAAACGTAACTTTTATATTTCATAATGTGAACCGTTTATTTATTGGAGGACCTGAGGTGTTAACAAAAAAGGGCGGGAATCCAAAAGTTCCGGTTTCATAATTATTGACTTTAAAAGATTACAGTTAAGCTAGGTATAAGTTAATTATAATACACTTAATGGCGAATATATTTGTGTGTAATTAGGTTAATATAGTTGTAAGGAAATTACATTTAAGCTAGTTATAAGCTAATTATAGAGTGTGAACTGCAAAGTAAACACTTACTAATGTGGATGGTTTTTAAAACGGTAGCGTATTAGACAAATTGTTCGATG